GGAACCATGGACTCAAGAAGCTGTAACTTCACTGCTGCTGAAACCAATGCACTACTAGAGGGTGTTCGGTGCCATTATGGAACAATAGTGGGAAGTTTTATTTCTGCTAAGGATACCAACAAAAAGAAAAATGATGTTTGGATTTTAATCACAGACAATGTGAATGCCATAGGGTCTGGCCAGAGGAGGACCACAGACCAAATCAAATTGCGGTGGAAGAATCTTAAGGCCAGGGCAACAAAGGACCATGCTGAAGCCAAAAACCCACAAACAGGCAACAAGCCATTTAAGAGGGGGGATTACACAGATGTGGTCCTCGACATCATTGGAGGTGAGAAGTCGCAAGCTCTTCATGGTATTCAAGGTGTTGTAGGGGATGGCGAGCCTTGGATTGAGGAGGAGGAGGTGAATCTGCCAGTTCCTCCTGAGGCTGATCCAGAGAGCGTATTTATATTGAATCTCAGCTCTGTTCCTGAGGAAGAAGCTGGATCCTCATTGGTTGAGCCAGTGGTAGTTGCCACAGGATCTCAGAGCAAAGGCTTGAAGCGCCCTTCATCAAACAAAGATGATGATTACAAGGCACTTCTGCAAAAAGAGACTGAAAGGGCAGAAGCACAGCTTCATCTGGCAGAGGAACAACTGACTCTGACCAAACTGCAGCAAACCAAGGCCAGACTTGAGATCCGCCTCCTAAAGGCTACGCTCAGACAAGCTGTTCTCTCCACATCAGATGAGGAAGTCTGAAATTAGTGTGGCGTATTTGACATTAGGTCACTTTTCTTAATTCAATACATCTATATTTGAAACTTGTTATAAATATCCTCGATGTACAGTGTTTGTGTTGTAGGTCTCAGATGAGCGGACTGCTGGAAGAGGATGGGGTGGGGTTTTTCTTGTGTTTAGTTTCTTTTAAATGTGTGTGTTTTCATTTCAAATAATAATAAACGTATATTGACCCCACACTGGCTATTCTACTTGTTGCTCTTTACATATCTATAGTTCTACATTGTGATTTCCTATCCTGTTTGAGCACTGGTTATCCAGATTTGGTGATCCTGAAAAGTTCCTATCCGGATCAGATTGATCCAATCCGATGTTGCTTTGAAAAACTGGCTCAAGAAGTAAGCTGGATTACGTGATCACGGATCGCAAAAAAAAGATTACTGAATCCGGATCAATTTTATCCGGATTAAACCTTTTGAAAAACCGGGCCCAGAGCATCCAGAGCTGTGATCAGCCAGCCCCCTTCAGGTTTGGCCCTTATAACCCAAATCGTCCTTTGTTTTACAGCAGAAACCTTGAACAGTCAAGACAAATAACACACTTCACATCGCCTCAGAAATGTTCTGCACCAAATTTTTTTCCTTTTGTCTGCCAAATTTAGAACATTGTCTCTTTCTTTTCTTCATTTCTTTGTTCACAAAACCTTTGAACTTTTTTTGCAAGTCAAGACACATGATAGCAAACCTATAGTTAACTGAGTTTTTCTTAATTGCCATTTTTGATAACTAATTTAGTTTAGCTTTTTTTTTCATCCGATTCTACCTCCACGTCTCTCACCATCCAGCAGCCTGCCAAAACAGTCTTCTCGAGACCCAGTCATCACCTGCTGCTGTCAGGTTTGCCCGGCTGCACCTACTTTCTCACTCCCCTCACTCTGTTTTCTCTCCCTTACCCTGATTACGCTATCCTTTACACCTGCTTGCCACCAGCTGCACCTGATTAGCTTCTCCCTATTTAGTCCCTGCTCTTCGTTCACTTCCCTGCCAGTTCTTTCTAGCTTTTCTCAGGCCCATTTGTTCCCCGTCGTTCTTTTGATTCTGTATTAGTGTTTTGTGTCTCTTTCTCTTCAGCTGCTTAGATTACATTCCCTCTTTGCCTCAGCCGCTCCTTCAGACCACAGACCTCCTCCACTCTGCTCATCACCACCCTGCAGGTCGATGCACAGTCTACTACTCACCGTATGTACTGTTTCTGTTTATCTTCAGTTGCATCAAACCCGAACAGTCCGGGGGCCTGTTGCACAAAAGTAGAATTAAGATATCCAGGATAAATGACTGAGCTGAGCTCAATGAATCCAAAACACGTGCGTCCAGGCTTAATTGGTTCCACGAAGACCAAGCCAGGATGAGCAGACACGGATTCATCAAGCCAGGTGTAACCAATCCAGGATATGTGCGCGTTCACGGCTCACTCAAATAGACCCCGCCACCGATCACAGATTCACTGATTCACCATGGCAACTAGAGCGGCGTACTTTTCCCCGTCGGAGGCACAAATCCTCATGGAGGCATACGAGGAGGTCAAAGAAATAATTAAGAAGAAAGGCAACAC